TAATTAGACTCACCCGGTCTGCGGGGTCACCACACAGAGAGCAACAGCAGGAGCTGGACGACTCACTGTCTCCACTAATGACAGGAGGCATGAGAACCACTGGGACTGTGTGAGTGTGTGTGTGGGAGAGTGTGGAAGTGTGTGTGTGTGTGTGTGTGTGTGTGTGTGTGTGTGTGTCTATAGGGGCTGATTTGTGTTCATCACATTGTGTGTGTATTAGTGAGTGTGTATTGTGTTTGTATTGTGCCGCTGTCCAATGTGCTGAACTCCTCCCCAGACTCTGCAGAGATGGAAGTCACCTCTCGCCCTCTGTTATTGGTCAGCGTGTATTTGGCGGCTGCTCTGATTGGTGGAGCCCACTCCGAGGGGACATGTCTTCAAGACGGCAAACACAAGGCCTCGCCCAGCCCGGAGCCACACCTGAGGGACTGTGCCCTGTACGCTGACAGTAAGTGACGCTGCACGTGCAATGGTGAAAAACACATCAACAGAAACGAGTCAGAGCTGGTTGAAAAGTTTCCTCTGTCCTCGCCGCCGACAGACAGCTGCTGCACCGAAGAAAACATCCAGGACATCGCCCACGCTCCCTCCACCGGCAACGAGAACGATCCCTGGGACAAGTGTGGACCCCTGAGCTCCGAGTGAGTCTCACCGAGTTGATCCAGACTCTTCAATGTTCACCTCATGTGCTTGTACATATTTTATAAATGCAGCGTACGGTTCATTGTGACTAAACGATTTACTTTCTGGTCTTGTTTCATTAGCTGCAGCAGTTTTCAGCAAAAAGAAAGCTTGTGATTAAATCATGATACTGAAGCGTTTAGTTGGTGGAGAACAAAAACACTGATATTGTTATATACATGCTACATGTGTAAATACTGTATAGAAACAAGGACGACTCATCCCATATTCCAGAAATGAATCTTAAATATATCCTGGATACAGACGCTGCCATGAAGAGTCTGAGCTGCAGCAATGGTGGGGTGGAGCCTTATAGCGAGGCCCTGTCTATACATAGGCTTGGCCAATTACGAGTCAGTCTCAGCTGTCAATCATGATGTTTCACCCCCGTTTCATTAGCATTGATAACTAATTGAAAACAAACTCAACACTGTGAAAAAGAAATACCTCAAATCACAGAAACCATCTTTTATTTGACTTTTGACTTTGGTCCACGTTCCCTCTGCTAACACGGAGGTGGGGTTTATGACCGACTCTGCAGCCAGCCACCAGGGGGTGATCAAGACACTTCGGCTTCACTTTTGTGGGAGATGTCATGTCGTCCATCTTCAACAGCTGATATCTAGAGGCCAGAGAATGTGTTGTTAAAACATTTGTTTACCTGTGTGATCGGCCTCGCTGCCTGTGGGGGGGCGGGGGTTGATTCTCTCCCGGTCAACAGATGTTTAAACGTCACTCTAACCTGTCGCCCTCTCTCTCCCCTCAGGTGCGAAGGTTTCCTGAAGCGAGTGTCCTGCTTTTACCGCTGCTCCCCCGATGCCGCCCGCTGGCCTCACCCCCACCGCCGCTCGTACATCCAGGCCGTGCCGCTCTGCCACAGCTTCTGTCGTGATTGGTGAGGCTGACAAACACTCTGCCTGAGCAAAGCTAAATCAAAATCATTGTATCTGTCCCCCCTCCGCCCGTAAGGACGTAGAGTCTTTGTGTCGACAGCGCTCGGTGTCATTCGTGCTGAGACAGAGTGTCCAATAAACAGCATAAAACTGTACGACGCAGATAAAAGCCAAGGTTGCATCCATCGAGCTTAGGCCAGAGTCTTTTCTCACGAAGGAGGCAACAAATATGTGTAACAGTGGTTGAGTGAGTGCTCGTGTTGCTGTGATGTTAAATAGACGAGTGTAGTTCAACTCAGACAGAGAGACGAAGTGTTCCACCTCTGTTTTATCTTTCCTTTCCTACATTGTGAATAACACACGTGTACGAGCTGCTTCCATATGAGTCTACATCAGAAGTCAGCGTTCATCGTTTTTGAAAAAACAGTCAATGGGACATTCGAAAAACTTTGCGTTCATCCTACCTGGTTTATCTGCTGCGAAATTGCTACAAAACGAACATTGTTGTTTTACTTTTGAAGACAACGACGTTATATCTCAACTGTTTAAGATGAAAGTGTAGTAACTGTAACAAGAAAGAGAAGTAATGATATACGTCATGAATTTCCTGAGTAAACATTCAGCTGAAGGATCATTTGATTTATTTGACGTAGCTCTACCTCTCTCCAGGTTTGACGCCTGCAGGATGGACTTGACGTGCGCTCGTAACTGGGCCAGAGACCCCCGGGGACAGAACTGCACCGGGTCCTGTGTTCAGTATCAGCAGGTAGGCTGGTGCGGCTGTGATCCTTTGTCATCGTCAGTTCTCCTCTTCACATGTCACTCAAAAGAGCTTCACAGGAGGCGTCGAGCTTTGAATCCAATCGATCGTGACCTCTGAGCTGCGTGTTTCAGTCACGAGGTCGGACACACTGTGTCACCGCGGAGTCTGAGTGTCGGTGGTCGAGGGAGTGTGAGGTAAGCGAAGGGTTAACAGCAGTGCTGAGGCTGAAGCATGAAAAGGTCTCGGTCTTGCATCAGTGGACAGGAGTCAGCTGTGTGATTTAAAAAGAGACAGAGTGACCGAGGGGCTGGAGAACAGCTGAGCCCAACATCCATCTATCCCTCTATCTATCTATCTATCTATCTATCTATCTATCTATCTATCTATCTATCTATCTATCTATCTATCTATCTATCTGTCTATCATACAAATGCAGAGACACTAATGGCACAAAATAAGCTCCAACAGATTTAAGTAGCTTTCCAACTGAGCTTTTCAAACGTTCCCAGAATATAAAACAAATGAATCACAGCAGCACATCCAACATATATACATATATCCTCTCAGAGCTTCTGCAAACAAGCGCCTGCCTCTTGCAACATTTTGGAGGTCACGGCAGTGAAGCTTCATTTTGTTTTCTCCTCAGCCGGCAGAGATGGGAGATTTCACAGTGGCTCAACGCGGCTGAGACGAGCTGCACAGAACATATACACGGACACAGCATCACATTAAAACCTCTCACAACCGTGCATTTAAAGATGATGTGCAAGGCTTTCAAATGATTAACTCCGGAGTGTCACTGTGATTTAGAAGAAACAATCCTCATTAAACCTTTTGCAGAATCTTTAGTGTTTTATTTGGAAAGCACATTTCATACAGAGCTAGATTCAAGGTGCTTTACAACATTAACAACGTCACAAAATTAAAAGAATTTAAAATCAGAGATTGAAGCTAATTTTAAACAAAATAAACAAGATTAAAAAGAGCAGAATGAAAGTGATTAACAAGAGGGGAAGGAAATAAAAAGGATATTGATAGAAACAAAACATTGGTGTGTGTGTGTGTGGAATAAATAAAACGAGATGCAGAGAGGATTTGTAAATGCTGAATGCAGTAGATATTAATTTGCATAGAAACAAGTGAATATATTTAAAGGCACACACACAAACACACACACACACACA